GTTCACGAAACGTTGGCATTCCAAGAATGGATTTGAACACGGAGAAAACCCGCGAAACGCAAGATTGTCATATAACATATTAAATGGTTCACAATTCCCTTTATTGAGGGGATTTCTAATAAGTTTAGTAAAATCATTAATGGTATGTGTCGTAGGGTGGCACATTATAGTATTAACAAGTTAAATAAATGCATTAGGGTACATAAGGATACTTTGCCCATATGGGAGAAAAGGAATGTAGTTTACCAGATAGGATGTCGTGATTGTGATGCTACTTATGTAGGTCAAACGGGAAGAAAACTAAACACGAGAGTAGGAGAACATCGTAGGCTGCGGTCCATTTGACGCTACAAACGCTTCGAAGCGTTTTTGATTAGTCAATTTGTAAAATTCTTTGTTCTGATTGGTTGCTCAAACGCTTCGAAGCGTTTGTAGCGTCAAGTGGACCGCAGCCGTAATCATATCCGTAGAGTGACATCCACTCGTTCGGTTATCACGGAGCATAGGGTTGGTTGCAATCACGACTTCGATTGGGAAAATGTGAAAATTCTGGATTCGGAGAGAAATTACAATAAACGAATTATGTCGGAGACGCTCTATATAAATTGTCAACCCAATGGTCTCAACATGCAAACAGACACTGAGGCTTTAAATCATGGATACATAGAAATTCTCAATAAGTTATAATATGTTTATTTTTATCATTGACCGATATGCTTTGTTCGTGCGACACGTCTTTCTTTGTATTTAACGAGTAACAAGAGACCACATCAGTACGAACATGTCTTTCTTTTGCGTTACTTAAATTATTTTCAATCTAACTTTGACATTGTAATATTTAAATGGTTGTAATGGATTGACGATGCTTTGATCCACTTGTGATCGTTGTTGGAGATGGGGTGAGTTTTAGACTAACATACACTAATTAAACAAATCAATATCTATTTTTCAAAAATATCTCGTTGCTATTCAGCTTGAGTTCCACTATTTACTCCACTCAGCTAAGCAACTGGTTCGCACAACATTGGACTATGTTGAAGATGGTTGTATCTCACCACATTTCCACTGCGATTGCATATTTGGAGGTGGGAACTGCGATTGTGCGAGACGCAGTTCGACAGATTTTATAGTGCGGTAAGCGATAATTTTTATTGCTGAGGATGGCCAAAATAGTAAGTCGAAACGTACATAAGTTAATGATTTAGTTTAATGGATATTATTTAGTTTTGCGCAATATAAGATCCAGCGTTGACTCCAAAGGCCTTGTTAATTATTGTTATTATTATTGTATTGATTTAAGGAGTCTATAAAATTTGTAATTTTTACTCAAATTTATTTATATTTTATGATGTTAACTATAAACATTATAAAAATAAAATATGATAATGTATTATACATACTATCAAATCCTGCAATGCAATCACTATCTAAATCATTCGATAGGCCTTCTACTGCCGATCTTATTATTTCTCGGACTTGTTCCGCTATTGGATCACTTGTAGGGACACACTTTCCACACTTTTATCCACTCAACAGTACACACGCGCCGCGTCCAGATGGCGCAAGGATACAGGTTCTGGCGATCCTGCTACCCTCTTCTCTGACAAGAAGACCGTTCGTGACTGTAACGTACTTTAGACTTAAATAAAAATATATTCTGTTATTATTGTCTACACGCAGGCCAATCATTCCGAGATTCTCCTAATCCCACGTGGCGGACCGCTACACACTTATAGCCTTATATTGTTGTCCATCTACAAAACTACACAGCTTTTTTATTACAGATATTTAATTGTAATCAAAATATATCATTGTTTATTTGTGTAAAGTTTACATATATCAAACAAGTAACAACCTGTTTTATAAATTGCCTGTTTCTCCTCAGTAAATTGTTTTTTTGTTCTTTTCTTTATACTTTCCCGACATGTTTTTAGAGACTGTACAGTTCGTACAACTCCCTTAGAACGAGACAGAAAATTTATTCGAAAATTTTCCCAACAATCTTTCTTTTCTTTAGAGAATAGAAATGCTATTATATTTGTTTTATTTTCTAATATTTTACGTCTTTTTTTATTATATAATATTTTATTTTATAATCCATTATAAGTAATTATAAGTAACTTACCAGATAACGCTTTTTCATAATCACTTGGTGATAGGAATATTTCGTATTTCTCATTTGTGCTGCCGTCAATTAATATATATTTTTTAAACGACATTTTTTTATCTAAAGCAGCCAAGGAAATGTAATATGTGATCTCAATAATCAGCCGCCATTTGTATTACTGAATTTGCGCTACCTCGGAATGAAGTGTGGAATCAGCCGGAAGTCAGCAGTTCCCTAAGATCTACTTTCGTTAAAAAGATAGTACGTTATACTATCTTATAGCATATTAGGTCAAAACGTAGTTCAAATTTTAAACAAAATAAGATAAATAAAAGGCATAAAACTACGAACGCAAGATGTAAGCAGCGAATAAATATATATTTAAAAAGTTAAAATACATATAATAGACGTTTCGGTCTTAAATCAGACCATCTTCAGTAATAAAACGAAATGAGAGTTATAAATAAATATTAATTTTCGCAAACATTAAGGCGATGCTAAAGCTCCCTGTTTTACCACATTCCTATTCGGTGAAAAATCTCCCCAGATAGACAAATACCTCCACGGTATTAGTACGGTGAGCGTACGG